CCAGATTGCCATAGTTTCTGCTTATTATATATTCAGATTTTGATCCTCAATTCTAAGTATAAAAAAGAAAAACATATTTGTGTGTTTAATTTAGAGTATAGATTCAGGCATAAACTGAAAACAGTTATACTTTTGAGATGTAGTTGGCTTTCACATTGAAAACAAAAAAAAAAGCCCCACAGTTTTTATAACATACTATTTTTAGACATCTCAGTGTTTATTCTAATCATTTTTTCCACATTACTATCCAAAATAGCTTAATATTTTATGAGGTGGTTGTCAGTCAGATATGATAGTGCTCCTAAGCACAGCTTTGAAGAGCTCTTCCCTTTGTACCTTATTGCGCCCCGCTCTAAGTCTGAGAATCTTCAACTTCTAAAATGGCAGCTGGATTTCCTGCTCTCCAAGCTTTAAAATTAAATCAATTCAGACTTTGGTGGTTTGTATTTATGAATGGCTCTGAAAGTACTTCGTGTGCTCTTATTGTCCACTCATACCAGTCTATGTAAATTTCTCTTTTTTTCCGTAACTTGCAAGACTCTTTTTATTTGAAATTTCTAAGGCTGCAAAATTACAGTACAATGGATCCTACGACTGCACACTTGCCTAGGGCATACGTCTGTAGCTTCTCCCTTGTCCCAAGGTACCACAGCCTGGATGGAACTGGTTAGCTTATCAAAGATCAAGCTGATAAGCCACCTGATATATAGGAGACAGACTGCAGAAAGACCGGCCTAGACATAAGGAGCCAGACTCCACCGTTCTGCACCTTATTTCATCTTCACTATGCAGTGTGTTCCCATATAAAAATACCTGTAATCTTCATAAGAACATATAGGGACAGACCTACGTAGAGTAGTGGTCAGAATGTATCTGGAACTGTATTAACAGTACCTATGTTAAACTAAGCACTTTCATTGACCTATGGGCAGGATTTTTGAAGATGGCATTTTGGTTAGTCTTGGTTTCATTAGCCAGAAATTTTACAAGAGGCAGCTTCATCCAGGACATTTGGACAGTCCTCACTGGTAGCCTGTCACACGAGTGCTTTTGGCTTGGCTTTCTAAAGAAACAAGGTTTGCGTGAGCATCCTCTATCAGCCTCTATCTTTGTAGCTTCTGAACCTGAACAAACTTTAAGGAAGGAGTAAGGAATAAAATTCCTGCAATGAAATCAGGTTGTTAAGGACAAAAGCCTACATGACAGAGCCTGCCACGTTGGCTCTCCTTTTATTAGGTACCAGAGAATCTGGACACCAGAGTGTCTTTAGAAGTTCCCTGACTGTGGGAAAGCAAAACATGCAATCAACCAGTAGACACAGTTATACTAAAGGACATTCTCTATTGGTGTTTAGTGTGGTGTTAGAGACTCTGGTGGTGTTTAGAGATTTTCAGAAAATGTTGACGTTACAACTGTTGCATTTTACATGATTCTTCCAAATATACCTAGCAAGTTACATGCTGATTCAACAACTTAATTCTTTCTTCATACACACATATAGGAGTAGCTAACCAAATAAGTGAACTTTAAGCTAGTATCACAAGCTAGCTGAACATAACACTTCCCTTCACTACGGGCTCAAGAAGCATAAGGCTTACAGTTTATCCTGAAGAGCTTTTCCAGAACGGAGACGAGAAGAAATCAAAGCTGAGGGCTCACATCTTTCATTTCATTTCTAAGCAATTGAGCTCTATTGGCATGACAAGGTACGCAAGCTGGACTGTATAAGATACCTGTCAAGTCTTGTTCACTCAGACTGGCTACTGGGATTTGATCCTTTGTGTTCCTGACTCTTTACAATGAGTTCCTGTTTCGCTGGTATACTGCTATAGCATGATGCTCTCTCTGCTTTCTCCTTTCTTCTTCCAACATTCAATATGCTTTTCTAAGCTGTGTTTTTTCTCTTACCTTTTGATTAAATAGGCAGCTATAGTGGCTCTCTCAGAGAGAAAAATTGTCACTTACGTGGGCGTGTTTAGTATCACTTAAGGTTTCCTAAGTTGAAAAAAAGTACCTTCAGTTTTACCTGAAAATGAGGAGAAGCTGGTGCGGGTCATAGTGCATTAGTGTAGTATACTCACATCTGGATGCACTGCTTAACAATCAAGTTCTTACTTTCTAAACCAGCTTAAATTACTGAGTGCTTCCAAGGTATAGCTTCAGGCAGAGCACACTGTATGAATCTAATTTTGAAGTGGCAAATATATGCATTGCAGTAGTGAGGTCCCTATCCCAAACATTTAAGTTTCTGGCCAGCTGTAAATCATTAAGGGGAGTCTTGATTATTATTAATACCTGATCATCTGGCAGGTTGGGTCCCAAACACGTCCTGGAACAATACTAAACCCACGTTTAGCCACACGGAGATTGAGCACAGTTCAGAGGTTCTCACGTATGCCACAGAGCAAATCAGACTTTACCTGCAAAAGAGCGCAAAAGTTGATTTTTTTGTGTTTCTTGAGGCTGTTAGACACACAGCTAATTGTTCCATGGGACCTTCCGTGAGAAGATAGCTAATAAGATTGATTTTGGTATGGTATTGAGCTTGTCTCTGCATATTCTGTAATTGTTCTACTAAGAGGTTTCTTTCTATCACACTTTGGACAACATACAGAGATACTTATTCCTAGGAATATCGTGAAACACGTTTTCCCTCAGGAAGAAGTGGTATTTTATATTTTTCTTTCATTGTGACCCGGAAGGTATGGAATTTAAATAATAATTTACCTGTGGAGGTGCATATGTCACTTAATTCAAATGTATGGAAAGGATGTATATGTTTGAGAGAAAATTACTTTTTTTTCTTAAGCAACACTAACTATTTTCACAATCTCATCAAAAATGTGTATTTATTTCTTACTATTTTATTCACAGTTGTAATATGTAAGATTATTTTTATTTACATTTTCTTTTTAATCAAACACATTTGTTTGCTGTTATGGCACCACTTAAGAGAATTGAGTTGCTGTAATTGTTTAGTTATTGTTGTTGAAAAAGACCATTGAAGTTGATCTTTGATGTTAGTAGTACTGTTACATGCTTTATGGAGGAAAGGGGGGAAAAGTGGGGAAAATTTTGGATATCAGGGCCTATCCACACTGGCAATGACATTTAGACAAACAATAAAAATCAATCCTTCTCTCACAATATGAAACATATGATTGTGCAAGAGTAAAAAGCCAACAAAGTAAGCTTGGATATCTCTGAAAACAGGGGAAAGGAATTGGGGTTGTTATTCAGTGGGGGAGGAGAAAAACAAGATTATAGTCATGTTTAGACTTAGAATCTGGTTTTTGCAATCAAAAAGTTGTGCAAATTATTCTCTTTATTGAAACTGTTGAAAGTGATATGTAAAGGGAGCCGTATACATACATTCTTATAAAAGCCTTGGCTTGAGTGAAGGAGTTACTCCCTGTATCTGCTATAGCGGAGAACAAATTGGGGGCAACCATCCTCATGTAAGTTCAATATATTTACTGCAGAAGTCTTTTTAAAGGGCAATTTGGATCAGATTTATGACTACAATAGGAACAAAAAAAGACTAATTTCTGTGAATTGTTTTTTAGGACTCTTATGTTGTTTACTTGTTATTTACATGGCAGTGCACGTATTATATTAATGATGTTAATTGGTTGAAATACTTTTCTGACTACAGAACTTTTCCCAAAGGCTTCTGGTGCCTATACTTGTTTCTGCTCGTACGTTATGTGATTTATATTACAAGAAACTTAAGTTTTTGTGTGCGTGAGTGTGTGTTACATATAAATTGTTTCAAGTGTAAGGATTTGTAGTCATTTTAAATGCAAGTCAGTGTCAGATACACTTGGCTTTAGAGTTAAAGTGCTGAGGGAATTTCAGTTGTCTTATTTCAGGTACCTTGTAAGTGATTTTTAATAATTATTCTCAATATTTTAAATTCTGTCTAAGTATCATATCAAATTACAAATTGTAGTTTATGCAAACTATTTTACACAGTAAATTTATTGGTTTCAGCTAATCTGTTTTGTATTTTCCATGTTAAACAGTACATGAAAAAAGACTGGTATGTTTTTGCTTTTAAAACAGTGTAAGCTAAAAATTAAACATGACAATACTCACCACTTTTTTCCAGAATAATTACCAGTAGATTGTAAAATTAAATTGGTCTAGCTGATTGGATGTGTTTCAAAGTACTTGTCCCAGCAAGTAATTTTTACTTATAAGTCATCACCAAAATATTATTTTAGAAGTTATACTTTTAAGTCTGCAGCAGGTAAATGGCTAGTTTCCATAATTCAGCATATAAAAACATATATCTTATCCTACTTAGGAGTAATTATGCCAGTGATTTTAACAAATATACCTCCGGTATAATTTTCAGGCTCATAAATGTAACACATCTTTAACTCTTACAGTTAAAAAAAAAGACACTTTATGAGAATGAAAATGTTTGAAACAACAAGTTCAAAATACCGCTCTTTTGGAGCTTTCCTTAAGAGGTGTAATTTTACTGGTATTGCTTTAGCGCAGAGCAAACTCTTTCACCTGACAGAACTTTTCACTTGCATTGACTTTGCTTACTTGAACTTGCAAAATACAAGGCAAAAAAATTACAAGAACTAAACACAAGGACTGAAGTCTCTGTTTAACAAAAATTAACGGAGGGGAGGAGAGAGATTACATTCTGCTTGTATTCACTGGGACCTTCTAATCCCACAATCATTTACTTTCGGAAAGAAAATATTATTTTTAAATGTATATGTGTGGTAGCGTTTGTTTTAGAAATGTAAATCACATGTGCCGACCACAGGGCTCAGGCAAAGCGGAAAATTCTCCATTTGAAGAGATTACAAGACCTGTGGATCCGAAGTGATTTTTGGTCTGGTTTTTAGGCCAGAACTTCATTGTTAGTTAAGTCGTTGCCTCTCTTGCTGTGGGCCGCCCCGGCCGCTTCAGAGAGGTCGGGAAGAGGCAAAGAAACGATCCTTAAAAAGAGATGCTCTCGCTTAGAGTCCCAACAGCTGACAAGCGCTCCAGACGCGCGTCCTCCCCACAAACCCCAAGCTGTTCGCTGAAGCGGAGCGGCCACCGGTTGGCTTTTCCCCCCGGAGCTGGCGGGGAAGCGCCCTCGGTGTTGCCGGCGGCTCTCCATCCTTCCCAGTGGAGCTCCCGGCAGCATCCCCGCCGTGTGCCGCTGCCGGCCGGTGCTCCGGGGCAGCACAGCTCCCGGTGCGGGCAGAGCCCGCTGCCTTCCTCTTCTCCGGGGGGCACTACAGCCGCGCTGGGAACGCGTATTTACATCCCCCGGCAAAAAGCGCAGCTCGCCGCCGCCGGCGAGGGGCCGGGGCAAGGCTGGAAGCCGGAGCTCGTTATCTTTTCCCGCATGCGAATGAGCCCGTCCCGCGGCTCTTGGCTCAGGTGTGCCCGGCTTTTGTTTCATTAGCTTATCAATTGGGTTTGGGAAGGGGAACCCAAAGCTTCCCGGTAGCTCGGTGCCATATGGAAAATCTGCAGTGTTTTGATTATGCCCTATGTAAACATTTTAATATCGGATCCTTAAAATCCAGAGACTATCCCAAAGGGGATTAAAACATAATCCTCTCTCTCTATAGCTGTAGTGGATTAATTTCGTATTCTCTCAGTGGCTGGCTTGCTCCCTGAAGGCTACAACAAAAAGACTCAGCGCTCCTTAAACATGCTATGGAATTGGAAGTTGTAATTGGAGATTTCCAAAGGACAAGTGTAAAAATGACACACTGTTAATACCGAATATTTTTTTTCTGTTGTGCTTTCAGGAGGGAAAAAAAAAAAAATCTGCGAAGATTTTTTTTAACTTAGTTTGAACACGCGCTCCCCCAAAATCCCATAATTTGACCACTGTTTATTATTCTTTCTGCTTGATATTTTACAAAAAAAAAAAAAAAAAAAAAAAAAACCCAACATATAAGCAAACGTTTTCTCATCTGGAAAGTACAATAACGCTTATTCCTTGTCGCATTTTAATACCTCTGATATGTTTACATTGCAAGAAATCTAGGGCGTCATTTGAGCAGAACACAGGGCAGATGCCAAGGTACCGGTCTGGGAGCTCGGAGCCTTTTCTCGGGAGGAGAAGGAGGAAGGCAGCAACCCCCGATTTCCCCTGCATTCAGGAACGGGCCGAGAAGTGAATGTCCCCTTCCCTCCACATCCAGCCGCTGCTTTTGCAGCTCTTCCCCCACCTCCAGTACGCGGGTGCATTTCGCCAGCACACCCGCTAGCCGGGGTGCACCCATTGTCTTCTCCTGGATGTCAGATTATCGGCTTTGGCCTTTTGACCATTAAATAGCGGGGCCTTTATTTTTATTTTAGCCACGCAACACCAGGGAAAAGAGGTAATTGGATTAAATTGATGGTCTTTCTTCTGGGACTCGGCAAAGCCCACAAACGCCTCCTTAAAATGATAGAATATCGGGTCGTTTCCAGGACGCATCTTCGGAAGGCGCTTTTCTCCCCGCACAAAGGCCCCGGGGAGCCCATCACCGTGCGTCGGGCCAAGCGGCGGGTGAAGGGCGAGGGGAAGGGCTGGAACGCTCCGCTGGAGAGGGCAAGTGCTTCTGCAGGGCAGGGAGCCGCTCTCTGCCCAGACAACCCCCCCACCCCCCCCTTTTTGTAAACACAAAGCAAGGGGGCCTGGGGAATAGAAACCCAAATCCACTTGTAATCGTACAAGAGAATCGGGCGTAATTACTCGAGCAACCTAGATGAAGATTGATGAGGTTTTAAAGCGGCGTTTCGGATCGATCGCCCTGCCCTCCGGAGCCTGCTGCAGCCGGGCTTCCCCGGCTGGGCTCGGCTGGGCCAGCCTGGGCTCCTTCCTCACCGCCGAGGGAGAGGAGAGGGAGGAAGGGAGGGAGAGAAGGAGGGAGAGAAGGAGGGAGGGAGGGAGGGAAGATGGAGGCGAGACGGGGAGAGCAGCAAAAGCGAGCCCGGCGCATGTGATTCCGATCAGCTGACTGAGGTCAAGAGGCTACCCCCGGTTTATTAGGAGATGGAAAACAATAAAATGAAGGAAAATAGAGTTTGTATCAATATTAGCCAGGCTGCCACGCTGGCCTGCTGAAAGCTGTCACTGAAACTGTGCGGTTTAGCTTCCCCTTGTACACACAGTAATCCCTGCCTTCCTCTTTATTTATTTTGCCGCGTAAATGACAAAACATTGTGCAATCCGGTCTCAAATTGGGTGTTACAGTAAAGTAAAACATTAACAACATGACAGTTAGATGCGCCGGTACAGGACTAATTTGGGCTAAGTGAGTAATTTGAAGTGTTGCTTGCAAGGTCTGGTAGTAACCGTGTGCGTGCGGTGCCGGGGGAGGAGGGAAGGTTGCATCCCTGCCTGCTAGCCCAGGGGTGCCTAGGGCTTGCCCGAAGCGCGCCAGGCCCTCGGCGCCCGGGCTGGCCCCCTCCCTCCCCGGAGAGGCGAGTGTCCGGGGAGGGCAGCTGGAAGCGTGCGCAGGCTCTGCCAGCTGAGCCAGGTCTTCTTCCTCGCGTGGAAGATTTTAACTGCATAAACCAACCAAGCCCCCTTTTATTTTATTTTATTTTGGCATTCATTGAGATAAGCAGTTTGCCAGTTTCTAAAAGGTGCGTCCGTGGGGCGTTGTACCCAATTGCTCAGTGCTGAGGCTTTTGGTATTTGTGTGTCGGATGTGTGTGTTTGTGTATACGTGTCTACAAATTACCCTACACGCTTCAGTGGTTAAATCTAGAAGAACGTTTTATATTTAATCTTTTCTTTTAATTAGAGCAAGTGAGCTTCCTAAACACTGACACTGTCGGCTTTAACAGTAGATTTCATTCGTATCGCAGATAAGATGGTGAAAAAGTGTTCGCCGGTTGTCTTTTGCATTAAAGCAGAAGTTGGTTTGTTGGTTTTTTTTTTTTTTTTCCCTGAATTAAAACCTAACAATTTGTGCGGAGAAGGCTGCCTTTTACAATAGGTTTTTCCCATCCCATCTTTTCTGTGCCCGTGCAAGCGTCTCGTTAAGAAATATATTTGAGCGAGACCTTGTTACAGTAATTTTTAAAAGGATTAAGTGACAGCAAGTTGAAATAAAACCGATGTTGCCGTAAATATATTTAACGATGCTCGCCTTTGTGTGCGGGTGGTATTGAAGTGGGTTAAAAAAATATTAAATATATATATACAGAGAGAATTTTTCACCATACTTTCGGAGTTGAGGTGTGGAGCCAGAGTTAAGAATAATGTCCCCAGGCTTGGCAGGGCCGGTGTGGCGGGCAGCGGCTCCGGGCCCCTCTGCCGCCCGCCCGGTCCGGCCCGGCCCGGGGTCGAAGCTGCCCGTAACGAGTCGCCGCTATCGCACATAAACAGCGATAGTGTTAACGAGGAGCAAAAAGGGCACGAAAAGAGAAGGGACCTACTTCTAAGAGGCAGCTATTTTTCACTCTAACCCTTCGGAATTTCGCTGCTGGCTGATTTATCTCGCAACCCCGGAGCTCCCAAACTCGCTTCTCTCCTGCCGGCGGAGTTCAAAGCGCTGACCGCGGGCAGGAGGGGGAATAAACACGGCGGTTTACAAACAGCGTTTATGAGGGGGGCTCCCCGGGCGCTGGCTTTGGCGGAGGGAAGGGGAAGGGCCACCGGGGATGGGCCGGCCCGGCGGCCCCAA